GTGTGTGTGTGTGTGTGTGTGTGTCTGTATGTGTGTGTCTGTGTCTGTGTGTGTGTGCGTGCGTCTCCAGGCCTAGTGTGTGACCGCACGGACGGACGCACGCACGGGGACAGAGGGGAGCGTTCGTGATACGTCCCACAGCACACCAGCTTTACCTCCGACTCCCGAGTCTTGAGAACCCCCTCTAGGGGAGTTGGGCGACCGACGTGTGAACGGAAAAGGGAGGAGGAGGAGGAGGAGGAAAACTCCGCCGAGTTTTGAGAGTGAGTGAGGGAGGGAGGGAGTGAGTGAGTGAGTGAGGGAACGAAGGACAGATAGAGAGATAGAGAGGAGGAGGAGGAGTAGTTGGAAGAGGAGGAAAGTTTAGTGTCGTGAGTCTTGTGATCGTTAAGAATAACCACCACTTTTTCTGTTTGTTGACTCTGCGAATATCGGTCTCATCAATCGCGTGTGTTTACTGCATTCGGATTCCTTCTTTTTTAAGACTGTAAAAGTTTTCGGTACCTCTTCTTTTTTAAAAACATATGTAAATGGGGGGAAAAATTCAGCACATTATTTTAAGCCCACTAGCCTATGTCGCGTTCATGAAAGTTTAGGGGTGACGAAAAACGAACACGTCGATTTTTATCGCCGCTAAAATTGGATTCGTTACGTTTTCATGTTCGAAACAGGTGAGAGACATACCTGGTAAAAGGGTAGATAGCGGGGAAGTGAACGACACCGTTTTTTTTACCGTATATTTCGTTTGAACCCTTTCCAATTCTTCTCCCACCGCTGGTTCAGTTTTACTTTCCCAAGTTTTGCAGACACATCAGCAAAGGTTTGGGATTATGGCGAGGAATTCCATTTTCGTGACGCGATAGCCTAGTAAAAGTTCTTGTGGATATTTTCTTTTCTTTTTCTTTCAGTCTTTTGGTTTAAATGGATCAACTTGATTGCTTTCTTCTCGCAGTTGGATTTTGATTCAGTTTTAAGGCGATAAAATTGTGGTCTAAATCCTTTATTTATTTATTTTATTACTCTTTTTTTTTTACTGTGGCTAAGTTTCCCATCGTATAATATGCTCCGATCATGGCGCTTCTTAGAACATCCGTTAATATGAACATAGCTATTAAAAAGTTAAATAAGTGATACGGCGATAGCATAATATTATCATACTCGACATAGTTCAAAATACGGAAGTTCATTAATGAATATATAAATATATTTGCAACCACTGTGAGTGAAAGATGAATGGCATGCAGAGTGATACGGAATTTATTCTTTGATTTATTTCTTATTTGTTTATTTATTAAATGTGATAGGCATGTTTCTGTTTTTGATTTATCTATTTATTTATGATTTGTTTATTTATTATCTGCGTTTATTATTAATTTTATTTTTACATTTTTATTTCTTTAAAATATCCCTGTACTAATTTATTTATTCTCTCATTTATTTATTTCTTGACTTGTTTTCATTAAAAAATTTATTTATCTGTATTTACCTTCATATATTTATAGTACACATTTTAATTTATTTAAGTCTTTGTTTATTAATATATTTGTGCTTTTATTTATATATTCTTCCTTTAGTTGTTTATTCAGTGTTTGATTCATTGAGTTATTTATGATTTTTAAAAGTTATTATTCATTTTTTGAAAATTTTGTGATATTTTTTGTCAAAGTTTTCTATTTGAAGTTTTGTGTGTGTGTGTTGCCTGGGTTACGAAGACGCACGTAGTTTCAATAGATACCTGCTTTTCTAATAAATATATAATAATATAGATTTAAAAAACGACC